AATTTCCGATAAAGTGTGTGATTACCACGTGCAAAAAGATAAAAGTGCGACAAATCAATGCTCACAAGATGATGGTGGCGACATCTTGCTTCTCTTCATTGACGGAGGGGGTGAGTCGTCTTTGTCATCGAAGTCGAAGGCAGATGAAGATGTGCGGACAGTACCGCTGTGAGGATGAGGGGAATGAGATGATCGTAGGGCTGTCGCTTGCATCGCGCTAAAAATGATAGGTTCTTTAGAAAGGAGAGCGAATGGAGAAACAGTCGCTAGTTGACAGATAAAAACTAAGATTGTGCGTTGTTCTATCTTTGGGTTTCTTTGACAAAGTACTACAAAATCTTCAAAAGAAAGCAACAAAGACAGTCAAAGATTAAAATAATATATTTCAAATAATTTGGAAATTAGTATGTAAAAAATAGCAGACCTGTTAAGGGAGGAAGTGGATGAAGCTGCAGAATTCAAAGGCCTTTCCTGATTAGGAATTGGCTGACTATCCTCATCACTGCTACTGCTCGACAAACCCTAGAGAGATTCTGATTTAGTGTAGGTAGAACGCAGATTGTGAAAGTTGAGCATACATTATCATTTTCTGTTGTCCCATCGGTTGATGTGCTTTCAGGCAGACTAATAGGTGGTGAAAACACTTGCTTAGGAGATCCGTGAGCTGGTTCTCCTTCCGAGACTAGATAAAAACAATACGAAAGCGTTCATCAACAATTAATGTGAAGCCAACTTCCAAACAATACGCAGATTTGAAAAAAAAAAGAGATTCTGAAAAAACAAATGAGAAAGATTAACCTGAAGGAAGGGAATCTACAGCAGTAGGGTCACTGGATAGTTTTTGGTGCTGGAACCGTTTCTTTGGAAGACTAAATACATTGTATTACTTCCAAACTGCAAACAAAACACCTAAAGGGGAAAAAAAGACTTAAGCCTGGTTTAGATTGTCCTTTGGCATGAAAATGAATAACAGTTCTAGACTTACGGCTTGGAAAATGCTGCATCGAACAAAGCCGCAGCCTTGGAATTTGGTCCGAAACTACCATAAGCCCGGTGACTGGAATTGATGCTTTTGGAGTAGGACATAATCGATCCCTTGTGAGACCCAACGGTAGTGGGATCTGAAATTATATTGGTGCAAAATAGCACTAATTCAAAGGAACATCACAAACCAAAAATTTTTAAGCGAGACAATTAGAATACAAAAAATTAGAAGATACGA